TCTTTCATTGTGCACAGTATTAACTTCTTTTAAATAATTTTTTTGTTCCTAACACATTATCAGATAAGTCACCCAATCTTTCGCAGGAAAAGCACAAAAAATGGTCTCTCTGGAAATGTTTCTGGAAGAGAATATGGTGTCCCTTTGCAATAGGAGGTTTATTAAAGTTATTGGGAGACGCTGCAGCCCTCGTAGGACCAATGTCCATCTCCAAAATTCTGGATTACGTTTCAGCATCGCAGAATAGGACATTGAAGCCTCTAAACCCCACGGTAGTCGATCTTTCTAGATAATCTTCTTCTTCAGAAAATTTCCACGTGTTCAAATCTCGAATTTCTTAGGGTGTCATGACATTTTCGGAGATCTACCAAAATGGCTACTTTCTCAGTCTTCTGGTGTTCTTCTTCGCTTTATTGCAGAGCACTCTAAGCCAGGCCTCCACTCATATTCTCTGCGTCGAGGGGATCCGCTTGAAGTCTTCTCTTCAGGTACACTTGAGGCTCGAAAATAGCGACTATCGAGGGTTATGGTTGATTTAAAATTTTACAGGCGTTGCTGTACGATAAAGCACTGCGTTTGTGCTCCTGGAGCATCGTCGAGGAGGAGAATCCGCCGGATAAGGAGAAAGAACATGATAAATTTCAGCAATCCGCCGATATTGGCACTTTGACCAATTTGATATCCGAGGATGTTTACAATGTGATGAGTTTCTTCTGGATTGGACACTATACTTGGGCGATTCCATTGAAGGTACTGAGAAAGATGAACGAATTACTCTTATATTATATTGATATTCTACAAAATTGTATCCTTAGATCACTGCCATAATTTTTCTTCTTTACACAAAATTGGGAGTCAGTGCTATCATTGGTGCACTATGGTGCATACTTATAATAACTCCGTTGCAGCTGATGCTTGGAAAGAAAATGTCGGAAAATTCTAAATCAATCTCTGTAGGTTGACAATTTTTATTTCTGTCTTTAGAGTGAACAAAAATTGCGGTAATTGTGAGAATTGATTTTTTAGAAAAGTAGCGATGCTAGACTACGTCTGGTGAACGAAATCTTCCAGGGAATTAGGCTGGTGAAGCTCAGAGCATGGGAGAACATTTTCGAGAGGAAAATAAGGAGCACGAGAGACGAAGAGTTGAAGATGCTGGACAAAGATTCCTTTTATTGGACTCTTATCAGTAAATTACTCGATAAGTCAAACGAATGGATTACAGAGAGATAAATCGAGAAATCTAATTTTTCATTTCTAGAATT